TAGATGTGCATAGATGCAGAATGTAGAGTATCCTTCTGATCTCTACTTCTTTATTACTGCACATGGTAATACACATCGTGCTGATGCAGTTTCATGTTTTTCAGGATACGTCTGCTAGCAATGAAGCATCAGCTCCATCATTCGTTTGTTGCTGCAGGAGCAAACGCCTGTAAACTGAACTTTAAAATGGCATCTCATCAATCTTCTCCTGTTCACAATTGGGCATATGATCTGCCAAAATGTAAGTTCCAACATATTGTGTGATGTTGACGATTATGATTCTCATTGATGTTGCCACTTGCTTGTGGAGTCTCTTGACATTGTGATCTGTGTAGTCTGGAGGTTGATGCATCTGATTTAAGCATATCATCGGAGCTCGATGTTGAGGGCGAAGTTAAGGTTTCCATGTCATTTTTCATGCATATGAAGTGAAGATGCGTCTCCCAAGCACACGCGCCACAGATGTGATCGTGCGCATAATACCATATGAGCCTACATTATGATGCTTGCGTGGCTACAAATTATAGACTCTAGTCTTTTGTAGATCTAAATGTAACATATATGTTATCGTCGGCATGATTGATCTAGTAGCCTTCACTTTTTGGTTCTTTTTTGAAGGTGAGGCTCTACAAATAAATCAGAGTTCTAAGGAAAATGTCGTTATCACTATAGTATTTATGATACTATGCCACTATATCGATCTATTGTATCTTCAGGTTATATCAGTCTTCTAACACGCGTCTTTCTTTTTAGAATATTTTATTTGAATTGTTTTTCTATCATCTGACAAAATTCTTGTCCTTATGATCATTCAAACTCCTTGATGAAATAGCGGCTAAATATTCTCTAAAAGAGTTCTCGATATTGTCCTAACATACCATAATTTGGAACTGAAAAGATGGTAAACATTTCACAGTTTCAGCTCGTAGATTACCAACGTCAACTTGCATTACGCACCCGTGATTGTCATTGAGTGGAGAGCTGCTATTTCCGCCATAGTGCGGCCTCTTTCACTTGAATTTGCTTATGCAATGCCACATGCGTTAGATTCTCTGGTGTTAGTCATTATTTATAGTATTATACAAAGTGGGAAAAAAAACTTCTACTTTTAAAGGATTTTAAATATCCTTGAACACTTATTTTGCAAATATTGATTTTGTGAGCAAATATGTGAATTATAATTCTGTAATCTCTCACATGTTTTATAATTGTAATCTAATTTTTCCTAGCCTTCTAAAAAAATTCAAGTCTCGAAATATTTTTATCCTAAATTCAAACCTTCCTAATTTTTTTTATATAAATACGGAAATTTTCTCAAATTTTTCTTTAACTTTCCCCCTTCTTCTTGTCAAACTAGAATTTAGATCACGCCCTCTTTTATTTTTTGGTTGGAAGATCACGTCCATTTAGAAGAGAAAAAAAAAAGGATGGAAGAAAAATGATTTCAGCTTCAATCCGAATGCATCATTAAATGGTCATGGTGATGTTGGGCTTCTTTGCGTTGAGCTTTTCCTTCGTCTTGCAACCGGCAATGGCAATGCACTTCAAAGCAGCAGAAATTCCAGCGCTTACGATGCGAGGAGCCGTCCGAGCATGGGAGGAGCCATCCGAACCTGGAAGATCGCGACGGTTTCCGGGAAAATTCTGAATCCTCCACACCGGGCCTCATGCAAGACCAATACTTTCTTTTGATTGCAGATTGCTTATTGGGATTTGGCTTGTAGTTTAAACCGACTTCAGTTCGTTTCGGGTGCCATGATCTGTGCGTGATGTGAAGTCGAAGATTACGAGGATATTCTATTTTAACGTCCATGTTGTTACCACGTCGGTGGCATTTGAAGCGAAGTTTCCTTTTTCGACATACAGTTAAGAGATGTTTGCTTTCGGATGGTTGAGGAGACATTTTCTTTATTGCTTTCTCCAAAAGAACTGAACTGATATGTCCGAAAAAAATGCATGCTTGTTTGTAGCATTCAAGAACATTGCACATGAAATTTCCAGCACAATGGTAAGGAAAGGACGTTGGTTTGGCTGAAGTAGTTGGTTTGAACAAGTAAACATGGGAAAAGAGTAAACATTTGTTCTCTCTCTCTCTTTCAAACAGCGCAATAGGTATTATAGCTTAGTTACGTTACAATCATAATAGCTATTACATCATAACCTTAACCATTACTGTGAGCAAACCAAACGTGCAATAACAAATTTGTTTACAAGGAGGAATAGAGAAGTGGGCCGGAGGGAAAGTAGTGAACTTGCATCTCAAGATTACTCTAGCGACCTCCATGAACTAAAGACATGTGAATTAAAGTGAGAGGAAGTCTGATAGTAGCGTATTTCATGATGAATACTTTCCAAATAACGAGGGATGTGAGGAGGCTAGGTAAAATAGAAAGAAGCTTAGGGAAAGAATAAGAATGAGGGAGCATGTAAGATGAGAGTATGAAGTCCAGATATTGAGAAGGGTACAAAATCTGGTTTCTAAACTTTTGGTAAATGGGATTAATCATGACTTGCTTACATTCTGAACCTGCCAGCCAAGTGATACAGAGAGACCTATTGCTTGCTTTGTGCATGCCATTGACAAAACTTTGTCTACAAACTTGTCTAAGAGTATATTGGAAGTTTTGGAACAAATTCCTAAAAGCGTACGACACCTACTTGAAAAATAAAAAATGCAAGGGCTCGGCTAACATGGAACCAAAAGTTCAAGGGTTATATTGAAAAATTTCCTTAATCATATCGAACTTTTTATTCACTTGTAAGGAGTTTATTTTTCTAATTTAGACCCAAGAGTTGCAAGATCGTACCAAAGTTCTCATTGTGGTGCACATATAGTGTTAGTAATTTTATAATTGATAAAATCCTAAAACACATGACACATACTTGAAAGAATCAAAAAGTATAAGGGCCCGGCTAACACAGAACCAAAAGTTGAGGGGGCTATATTGAAAATTTTCCCCAATAATATCCAACTTTATCCGTACGTAAGGAACTTATTGTTCCAATTTAGACCCAGGAGTGTTGACACATGAAATTTTGTCGACAATTCAATTTTTTATTCTTAAAAAAGAAAGAAAGAAAGACTAGCTAAAAAACAAATTACTCAATTAAAAGGCGGACCCAGACCCATAAAACCTGCCAATTCAGTCATCTGCCCATTTTTATTTTCTATTAGCCCATTTGGTAAGACCATTGGGCTGTCACTTAGACCCAATAAAAGGGGGCCCGGCGTTCCTTTATTATTTTCTCTCACCTTCGTCTAAAAAAACTTCAAAAGCTTTTCTTTTGATCACATAAGATGTAGCATTCTTATAAGAATACAAACTTAATTCACCATGCCATTCGTTTTTCCAAACTCTCTCTACATCGACCATGACTTTTTCAAGGGGTCGCGTTCTCATTAGACTAGTAAGTATTTTAGAGGCCTATAAGGTTTTCAAGACAGCCCGCTATCATGTATTTTTTAACATGCAAAGAAGTGGGGTCGATTCAATAAATAGTCTAAGTTAAAAGGCACTTCGACCGAAAGAAAGTTAGAGAACCATCATAGCTACTCGAATTAAGCTTGCGAGGCATTGAGTAATTAGGTCCAGACCTTGTATTACCAAGCTCAAATTCGATTCAATTTATTTTGGAAGTCAAAGATTACCTTATCCATATTTTGGGGCACACTTTTTATTGGCCAATGCCACATCACCCAAATGACGTGGCTTTGCGGCACTAAGACAATGACGCATTTGGAGTTTTCTGCTGTCGTCGCTTCCATATCACTGCCTCCGGCCTTCAGATGTGACGCTCCGGTTCCTTCCTTCCACGGTGGAGCTTGCTTTCTTTCTTGGTTTTGCCCGGTCGAAATCTCTCCATCTCCCTGTTACTTCGGACTGAGAGCATCAAGCGATGTGCGTATCGTCTCGGGTCCCGAGTTCATGTCGACACTAGAACGAAAGGCGATAATCCTCGACCCTAGATTATTGACCTGGGTGCAATTCCAACGATATGCGCACCACATTGCTCTCTCCTACACGATACACAAAGTGTCGAATGCTCGTGAAGATTTTTCTTCTTCAGAGGAAGATATGCACATCTCCAGAGACTTGAGAGATTGACTCGAAGGAAACTCCAAAAGGGATATCTTTATAGTATAAAAAGAAAAGTTGAAAGAGGATTTTAATCATGAATTTTCTTTCAAAAGGTTTCGCTAAAACTCATAGACATTCATCAGATAAACTTATGATTTATGCCTAACTAATCGATAGTATCGTTATTCAAAGTTAATAAGATAGTTAGATGTTTATCTATAAAATGTCTCGTGCTTTTTATAACCTAATCTTCCCAATTTTACAAAATTCGAGTCCGAAATTTCAAAATAGATAAGATACTCATATTTTTGAATTAGAAATAACATGTTAGGTCTACGTGGTGAGTTCGTTACAATTATATTCCTAATGGCCTCCTTTTGCGGATTAGATGAAGGGAAGTGAGGGTGGGTTGAGTTGTGGCTTTCATTATCAAATTCTTGTTTTAAGCCTAAAAGATTAACATTATTCACGAAGAAGTGAACTTTTAGACACTCTCGGAGACTATATTGATTGAATAAGGTATTTCAAAAATAGAGAAGATTTCTCGATGCACTTCAAATTCCATCACCTCAAAAGGGCAAAGAATCCTCCTCGAATTCGTCCCAGCCGTCTTAAGTTTCTTTGCGCGCTCTTCTTCGTACAGAAAAAAGAGACAGATTCTTCCTTTTGTCTAAGTTGCTGTTCGGTGTAAGCACGTCGCTCCCCAAGTGATCACCGTTCAATGTCTCTTAGGTAGACAGCTTTTGATTGACCAGACTCAAAAGTAACTTTTCTGTGGGCTGAGTTTGTTTTCTTTGGTGAGTTTTGCAGGGAAGCAACAATGATCAATGCTGCTGAAACGGGGCTTCCAGTTCGACTTGAGGTCTGTGTCTCCATGCGCTCGTTTGTCTTGTTTTACAGTTTTATTAGGAAAACTGGTACATGGGTATTATCTTGATCGATGCGCTCCGCCTGTTTGATGACATGTTGGAGTCAATGTACCAAATTGTTTTTCAGGGGAAGTTTAAGGCAATGGTTTTCTGTTGGGTGCTTGGACTTGGGTCTCTTGTGGCTTGGAACAGTATTCTGACCATTGGAGATTATTACTATAAAGTGTTCCCGGTAATCAATTGCGGATTATTCCCAACTTCCCATGTTCTTTTAAAGTTAATACCCTGATCGCTCTGTTTTGTGATCTATATTTATTGAACTTTTTGTTCTCTTTAGCTGTCTGATTTGATTTGGAAGAGTCTTGACTCTGTTTGAGTTCCGAGAATTGTAGTTCTATAATTGTTTATTCAACACTGTCTGACTAGAAAACAGGTGTGTCTAGAGAATTTTGCTAATCAAGTTGATTTGTTGTACCGTGATTTCACCATTGTCATCGTGGCCAAGGTTCATCTTCTTGATCCGTTGACTCGTGGCAATACGAGTTTGTTGCTATATGGTTGATATAACTATCACTATGCTGGGTGACGTCCGGATGGGTAATTAACATAATCATCTTACGAGTGCTATTTTAGGACTAGCAAACTATTTACTTGTCTTTTGATATCTTTTCTTCTAATTATTTCGTTTTGTAATTTGCTTAGTGTAATATAAAGTCATAGGTTGATTGCGCTATTCTAACTACATGTTTTGTGTTGGCTGAAGCATTATCATCCTTCGAGAGTGCTTACAGTTATTTATCAACCATTCGCAATTGGGACGATGGCTATCTTAGTGTACCATGAATCCAGAGTTGACACAAGAAAGAGGAATATAGTTGGATACACTCTTTTCACTCTAAGTACACTCTTTCTCATAGTTGTAAGTTGTCCGAAGGCATAAATCTTTCTATTCATGGTGATCCTACTAGTGCAATTATCTAATTCAAGTTATTTTCCATGAATTCTGGTATCTTACATTAACTCCATTGCTGGATTTCATACATGATAGTTGGACTTAGCCACGTCAGGGAAAAGGGGAATTGGGCTTTATTTCGGTATATGTCTGATCGTTGCTTGTTTTGGAGTGGCCAATGCTCAAGTTCAGGGTGGTATGGTCGGCGATCTGTCTTTCATGTGTCCTCAATTCATGCAGGTGGGCGGTCTCCTACTGTTTTATTGCATTCTTTCTGCAAATTATTCCCTTAAAGATGCATCTTTTCAAGTTGGATCTTGGTCTTTCTACCTCAAATTATGGAGGATTTTCATTTATGCAGTCGTATTTCGCTGGTTCAGCTGCATCAGGAGCACTAACATCTGCTTTGAGGTTGATGACAAAGGCAGCCTTTGACAAGACTCATGACGGTCTTCGCAAGGGAGCTAGTATGTAATTCTTTGTCGTCACTAGAAAATCTTTATCAATTTCTAAATTCATCCCGTCATGTAGAAGTCTTGTTGTTAGTGGAATTTTAACACTCGAACAAGTCTGGTTTGACTTGATAGCATCTGTGATCACGTGCTTATAGCATGTAATCCTTAAGGACTTAGGCTTTATGTCATACCATGGTTTATCTCATTTTTTAAGGAATTATCAATAAGTAGGTAAAACCCACTTTCCTATGTTGTGCCTTGACTATACACAGAGGAAGCTCATGGTGCAATAATCAGCTTTGTCATGTGAAAGCAATATGCAGAATTCTTCTCATCAATTTTCAATTTATTTTTCAGTGTTGTTTCTGGCAATCTCTACGTTCTTCGAGTTTATATGCATCATTCTGTATGCTACTTGGTTCGCTAAGATTCCAGTTGTGAAGTCCTGCCGCTCCAAGGCGGCCTTGGAAGGGTGTAAATCTGTGTCGGCTGACCTTGCTGCTGCTGGAATTCAAAGACAGGTGCATCATAGCAGTAAAACTTTTTCTGTTGTAGTTGTAAAATTTGTGTTCCTTTCAATGTATCTGAAACCTTGAAAATTTTGAAATTTTGGCAGGATGAAGGCTCTAAAGATGATCGATTGAACAACAAACAATTGTTGTTTCAAAATATAGATTATGCCATTGGTCTATATCTTACACATGTTTTGACATTGACAATCTTCCCGGGCTTTCTCTATGAGAACACCGGAACACACCAATTGGGATCATGGTGAGTACTGGTAACAGAAGCCGATTTCTCTAACGCTTCTCACGATGAATGTCGCCCTCTGTAAAGGTTTGTGTACTCACTACAATCTTGCTTTATCGCTTCCGTTTCAGGTACTCGCTAGTTTTGATTGCTATTTACAATGTATGGGATTTCATAGCTCAGTACATTCCCCTTATCAGTTGGCTCAAGTTAGAGTCCCGAAAGGGCCTCATGTTAGCGACTCTTGCCCGTTTCCTTTTTGTCCCTGCATTCTATTTCACAGCAAAGTATGGTGATCAGGGGTGGATGATAATGCTCGTTTCTTTCTTGGGCTTGACCCATGGTTATCTTACTGTCTCTGTTATGACAGTAGCACCCAAGGGCTACAAGGTTTGACCCGAACTTTATCTCTTTTGAGTTGTGTTCATTTTAGCACAATTTCTTCTTACAATTCAAAATGGGTCGAGCTCTTTTTTCAGGGACCAGAGCAAAATACCTTGGGCAACTTGCTTGTGTTGTTTCTGTTGGTTGGGACATTTTCGGGAGTCGCTCTTGGCTGGTTGTGGACGATAGGCAACGGCAAATTTTAGAGAGCCGTATCGCTTTCATGAGGATGACTTTTGTTAGGGAAGGAAATGATCTCACTCGAGGTTCTTTCGATTTGCATATATTGAAAAGGACACAATCAGTTGTTAGGCTAAGTACAAGTCACATTTCCCTTTCTCTATATATAAATGCCCATTAATTTTGCAAGTAGAATGCAATGGTATTTTATTTGTATTTATCAATTATAGTAAATGTTTCGGTACGGCGAAAATGCTTTTACTTTCACACTCAAACCTCTGGGAGGAAAACCCTATAGCTTCACTACATTGAAGTATTTATCCTTTTTTTTGTGTGGTCATTATATAGTATTTATCTTTGAAAAGCCTCACTTGGGGTATATTTCAAATCTTATAGCTGCTTTGAACTTTAGTACAAGTCACCTAGAACACTCTTCAACTGGATGCGATTTGTATGACAGCCTTTTCAGCCTTCCTAATTCTCCTACAGCTCAGATGAATCGATCATGCACAGAAAAAGCCCGACTTCTAGCTTATTTGTCTGCTTGATGTCCAATTTGATCTGATTTGATATGCCGGTACCGGATGCTGACAAGGGAATTTATGAAATGATTCAAATGAAGAAGGGGAGAATACTCTCTTGCAGAGCTGACTGCATACAACGAGTTATCGTATAAAAGGATCAACAAAGAAAGGATCGGAAAAGAAATTCCGATAATGCAGGGATTATGCAACTAGTTTTATGTCCACATTTTGATGCATGAAATGGTCATCCCAGCAAAAGACACTATTGACGGACAAACAATCTCTATCAGTTCAGAAACTCTCAGTTATATAAATTTGAGCCATTAGAGTCATAATAAGCCCAAAAACTTTCCCAATATATTCTGCAAAAAGCAATAAAGAAGAAGCAATAGTTTGCTTCTGCAACACGTCCATTGACACAACGTCATCATCATTAAGCACATGTTTCATGCAAAATGTAAGAACCTACAAACCCACGCATGCACGGCATAGGATATCTACTAAACTTGCAAAAAAGAAGATTGGAAAATAGTTATTATTATTCGATTTTATAGCCAAAATAGGGGTCTCCAGCAAGAAATCTCGAGCAAATCCAAACGGTCGATCGTGAATAGGGATCGACGGTTCAATTTGTGTCATGTTTGTGGATTCGTAGATGGCAAGAAGTAATAAGCATATTAATTTATAAGTTTAATATGACAATGGATACCACATGCAATGCAATTGCCACGTGGCATACGGTCACCTCCATTTGCCCCCAATGTGATCAGTCACACGCCACGTCGCGCAACCATATGAACTCTTCCAAACTTTACAATATTATTTTAGATTGGTTCTGAGCAAGTATGTCGGTTAGACTCCTCCTTTTTTGCCGTAACAAAAATTTCAAAATTTATGTGAAGTGCCTTGTTGTAAATAATTAATTCGAAATAATTTTATAAATATTCTCTAATAAGGAAATCTCTAATCTGTATAAATATACTTCATCACTCCACTTCAAGCTAGAGCATTCAATTTGTATATACTGGTGCAACTTTCTTCCAAAGTCTATGATCATGTGCCGGGTAAGCCGGACATTACACTTACAACTGGATTTGACAAACACCGAAGCTGACACATGCTCAGAAAGTTGACATATCTTTTTTACGTAACCTTGATAAATATTGTGGAAACCCAACTTGAATTGTGGCAAATTAAACCGCATCACCCCACGGCGCTCATCTTTGGCCGCTCGATGAAGGTGTGCTCGACTCTGGCGCTCATGGCTACATGGATACTTAATGACATTACTCCCATGGCACTCATCTTTGGTTGCTTGATGATGGTGTGCTTGATTCAAGCGCTCACAGCTACCTAGATATTCGACGGCGACTTCGCTCGTTGACGAAGCTCGTAATTAAAAGAGAGTACCACAACAAATAACATCCATGGTAGTGATGTTAAGTGTTGACAAAATCGGTAAGTTTCGGAAAATAAGATGACTAAAGATAGCATAAAAGAAGAAAATGCTAGGGTTTGATTTGATTTCTTCTCTTGGTGGCTCCGATACCACGTAAATATTTTTTAATAAGGAAATCTCTAATCTCAGTATATATACTTCATCGCATTCAATTTTCAAGATAGCGAGGTGAGTTTACATAACACGAGAACAATCAATACATCGAAAATCGCAATTTTTCTTATTTAATCGCTTCAACAAGTGATGCGACACCAACCATTGGAGATACGAACTGAACCGACGGGACCACGGCGCATCGGATCATGTTAGGAACACGAGCATCTGCGCTAACACAGTAGCCGCACTTTAAGCAAATCCCAAGAAGAAGAATGGAGTCAGTCGCAGACGAATCCGAATCATTCGACGCATGGCCACCCTCGAACGAACATGGCGGGCGTCGTCACGGGACAAGAAGGGGAGGCAAGGAAAAAGATCCAGGGATCGATGCTCGTGCGCCGCCAGCGACTCATCCCGACTTCTGACTGAAGCCTCTGGCATTATATCGCTCGGGGACGGGGGGAATCGAATCGTGAAGGAACTGCAGTTTCTGCATATGCCGCCATGGTCCCCGTTCCAGATCGTCTTTATCTTTTGCCCATTAGGATTGTTCTTGTGCATAAGAATAATCCTAATCTCCAAGAAGGAAGAGCCCAGCCTCCCCCACTTCCTCAAACCACATTCAGGATTCCCTGATTCCTAGCCAATTTGATCTGACCTCACAGTCCACTACTGCCAATATCCACAGATTTCTTTTGTAAGCCGAGTGCTTTGAAACTATGTATTCGTATGTGGGGTCCGTTTGTTCGAAGGAAAACTGTTTTCGAAAGATTGTTTTCCGACTTTTCATGGTCGAAAGTAAAGAAAAAAAGTTTGTACTTTTAGGATGCTTAAATGAAGAACGAGATTACCAAATGTATAGCCTGGGTCCATGTTCGATGTTTGAAGAACGAGTTCATTTGTACTTTTCGATGTTTGGATAATGGGAGGCTAATCGATTCGTGGAAAACGTCTTCCGTGCACTAAAAATAATAAACTTGCATAGAGGAAAACGAGGTTCTAGAAGGAAATCGCTCTCCTTAAACCATCAAACTAAAAAAATTTTCTTAAAAATGATTTCCATGACAAATATTTTCCTTAATCATAAAGTTTTCTGTGAAACAAACACAATCTTTGGTGTAGTGATAATGAGTTGGTGTCAAGCAAGTCGGGTGAGTGATTACGGAATAGAGAAATGTGTGTGGATTAGGTGCATGGCATTACATTAGATTTCTTGCATTGCAAAGTGCAATATGCTCCCATCTTTGTGCCTCCCACTCTGCTTTTGGCCCTCCTCTAGCTCAGTTCATGTGATTAGCGATGTATTTCATGGTCGAAAGTAAGGAAAAAAAGTTTGTACATATCGCTGTTACTTCGCAGCCAAACACACCTTACCTTGAGTTGAGAAAAATCAGCAGCGACTAAAGCTCGATCGGCCTCGGACTCCGACTCCTCACTTGAAGCTCCTAATCTTCCGACTGCTGCAAGGAAAAGGACTCTGGTTATCTTTCATTCCCATCGTCATTGTCTCCGACGGCTTCTACCTGATTAATCAATACAAAACCTTCTTTAAGAAACCACATACCAAATTGGTGGCATTTTTTATTATTATCTTCAAGAACACGTGATATTCAAACTTTTGACTAGTCAACCGGCTGATAGCCCTTGTGCTGAAAAGAAAGGATTCAACAATTAATGCTATTCAGCTTGTTAGATAACTCTAATTAGTTTAGACTTAAAAAACTCAATTAAGCTGCATTTGACTTATCTAATCCATAAAAAAAAAGGGGTCACCTAATTCATGGTCACGATTCTATGTTTGGAAAGAAATTACAGATACCCAGTGATTGCTAAACAACTCTTTCTTTCTATTTTAACACTTGAAAATGAGTTCTTAAGTTCTTAGCATTGATTTCTCAATATTGTCAAATAGGTTTAAATGCACATAAATCAATACATTCATGTAGATCGAATAATGTTTCGAAAGAGTGGTCGACATGGCCTCCAATTCAAGATTACTTTGAACTAGAGACGTAATACAATCAAGCATTTATCTATGCGATGTTTTTGATTTTTTTTTTTTGTCATTTAGCCATAAAACAATATGAACGTATTGTTGATTGGCCAAAAGGCAACAAATGCATAAATTATAAAGCATGGGCTCTTTGCAAATGCGCGAGCCTAGGCTGGAGTGACCTCCTTCTTTGTGTGTGTTGCGCTTGCCTCACCTCCGCACCACCGTTGCCACTCACTCCCATTACCCTACACGTCATGCCACCGTCATCCTTCGCCTACCACCATTTCCGCCCCCGGCCGGAGGGAAAGTAGTAAACTTGCATCTCAAGATTACTATAGCGACCTCCATGAGCTAAAAACATGTGGATCAAAGTGACAGCAAGTTTGATAGCAGCTTATTTCATGATGAATACTCTCCAAATAAGGAGGGATCTGCGGAGGCTAGGCAAAACAGAAAGGAGCTTAGGGAAAGAATAAGAATGATGGAGCTTGATTTCGTTGCTTTTTTCCAATTAATGCCACAAGAGGAGATAACAGCCATGACAACTCAGATGACGAATTTGTTACTCCCGGAAACAGTGAGGATGACGAGGGTTGGGATAGACGAAGGTTCTTCTTGTGTAATCTAAGGTGTAACCGCAAGAACCTTGTTTTCAAAAGAGGAATGAGATTTGAATCTTCATCTCAATTTAAACATGCTGTCTAAAACGATGCGAATTAGGAGATACTTTGAGGCAATATGCAGAGAAAAGTAATGTTACAGGGCATGAGATCATCTCTGCTTTTGGAGGCAAAGTGTGCATACATAATGGTCACAAAGTATGCAACACCTTGCCTGCTTTTTTAAGCCTACGTGCTGTGCACATGAAGAGTAAACGGCTGATGAAAATTCCAATTTGTTCATATTCTTCGATCGTACAATGTGTCTACTTTCGTGTGCGATGTTGAGGAATGGTTGACGAAACAAGACAGTAATAAGAATCGACGTTTCGTTAGTAAAAAAATGGAGATTTCATTACTAAAAGCCGACACCAAAACAAAGTAATAAGCTGCCATTGTTTCCAGCTACAAAAGAACTTCTAAGATCCTAATCTATCCAACCGCACTATGTCAAGCGACCTAGATGACTCTCCTCTATTTCCAACATTGACAAACATGCACTTACTACTCTTCTCTTCAATATTCATTATTTTTTTTTCCCTCAAAATTCACATTCTCTCTATACTCTATCAGTCGAATCTTCTGCTTCAA